CCCCCCCCCCAATCAAAGGGTCTTAGGGCCAGGGAAGAAATTCAAAGAAGAGTGAAAAAGAAAGGAAGGGAAGGGAAGGAAAAGAAAGAGGGAAAAGAAGAGAACAAAGGGAAAAGAAAGGAAAGGGCAAAAGGAAAATGAGGGGGCAAAAGGGAAAGAAGAGAAAGGACAAGGGATGAGAATGAAAAAGAACTGAGAAAACTTGGGGATCAGTCTCATATTATGTCAGCAAGGAGGGGGAGGGGTATAGATGAAGTATGACTTTTTATGGCAAGAGGAAGGGGAATTGGAACATAATGTCAATATTTAAATCAAATTTTAAAAAAGTGAATATACTGTATATTAATGTTTGTGAAACTAAAAACGTTTGTTAAAAAATGAACGTAATTTAGAGAGAGGAGTACTGTTTAATTAATGGAACATCTCTAGTTAATATATCAATAATAAATTATTTTGTTGTGCTGTTTATTATTGAGACGCAGAAGTTCTAAATAAACTGAAAAATTTGTTGTCAAAATCAGCATTGTAACATCATTTTTCTACCTTGAACCAAACGTTTTTTTGGAAATAATTCTTTAAATCGCAGGAAAATTACTGGAATAGTAAAGGTGGAGCCCAGACTCCGATGCCGGGCCCAAATTTCTTCAAGATACAGGGAAGAAAATCAAATCTGAAGAGAGGGGGGGGGGGAGAGAAATCAAAGGTCATTGAAGAATATACACCCCTGCTCTACAAGCAAGTAAAAAATATACCTTGGCTTGGATTTTGCAAGATTGTCGGAGTTGGGATTTCCTTTTTCCTTTGAAAGTCCTAAAACATAGACGGCCAGGGAACAATTTCAGAAAATGTTAAAAAAAAAAATCCGAATAATACTGTGGTCTTGAAATTCGAGGATATGAATTAAAACACACGAGCTTTTGAAACTGTAAATTTTGGACATTATTTCAAAGTCGAAAATTTACCGCTTCGAGAGCTCATGTTATATTAAGTCATATCTCGAATAAATCAATAATTATTCTTCTGAATTTGTCTCTGCAGCAAGCAAGTAAGTAAGCGAGGTGTGCTAATCATCCATACTTGTATAGCTGAAAGCTAAACTGAATTACGAGAGACGCAGCTCAACCTGGTGCAGTCAAATGCTTACTAAGGGCGCCTCTGGCAGCCAACTTATGACTCATGTCTGATCACGGAGCGCAGCTACGGTGGAAGGGTCAGTGTAGGGGGGGGGGGGGATAGTATTTAAACACACGTAAAAAATACGATATTTTTACGTGTGAAAATATCATTTGTTGTAAAACGCATTGCCACGGACGTTTTATTGTTTTTCACTGAATTTTGTTTATATATAATAAACAGAAAAATAGATGGATGCTTGGAAATACCCGATTTATTTCTCGTGTAATTGAACATCATATCTCACTCGTTCGCTGCGCTCACTCGTGAGATATCATGTTCAACACTCGAAATAAATCTGGTATTTCCAAGCACCCATGTATTATTCTCTATTTATCTTCGAGTGGTGAAAACAATATTTTACGAACGAGCGCAGCGAGTGAGTAAAATATTGTTTTCAACACGAGAAGATAAAAGTCATATCTTCAAGCCACCGTGTAATGTTCTGTTTGTTAATAAATATATAGTCCCAAGCAAAAAATTGTGAAATTTCACGCTCAAAAGCAAATTGGAAAAAGTCACGTGATCGATATCTTCACTAGTGAAGATATGGAAAATATCTCACTGTGTATTTTTCAGTATCTCACTCTCTACTATATAATAAACATACTTATAGGTTTCCCCAAGGAGTTCTATGAATTCGGAATTGCCTTCTTGTAGAATTAAATTATACATTTTATAGCTTCAACTGGTTGTTCGAAAGCAAATAAGCTTAACCCTAAGTTAACGTAAAATGCAAAGCAAAATTGCAAACAGTTCCGGTCGGTGTTCGCGTATTAAAAACGTCACTTGCTAAAGGCTCTCTGTTATTTCATAGAAACAGAATCAAGAACATTCCGGGGGAGGGTGGTTTTGGTGGAAGTGGGAGAGCGTTCTCCTACTAAAACTCAATCTTCTTCTAAAGAAACGGCAAACTAAATGCTTGTATAAATCCCTGCTGATTTTAAACCTTACCGGCAGTGGCTGTTGCTTTAAGACTTGCAGACACAGTTGCTACAGTTCCAGTCAATTTAACCAAAATCACCTGACCATCCATCAACAGGACAGCAACAACGTCAGTAAAAGTTGGATTCCACGCTATATGACGTACCTTTACACCTGAATGTCACAAAGAAACAATATTAAAGGAATACCAAATGGTTTTCTGCCCTGTTGTACCGCCATCTTGGATTTATCATGCAGGCCCCGCCTGCGCTAGGTATGCGTCAGCAATCTAGATCTCCTATATCCATGGTTGTTGCAGTAAGCAGCCTGTTAGTGGGGAGAAAACCTCGGACCCGCGAACAGGCTGCGTAAGAGACTAATTTCTTCCATGATTGCCGAAGTTTTAAAGGTCGTGCATTAGACTTATCATACATCAAATTGTCTGATACTTTGAGTTCATAAAACACCTTCTATCAAATTTCCACTCTATGAATTCAGATTGCGTTTCAAACCTACCATTTTTATGCGCAATTCATTTTTAAAGTGGTTTTAAAAAAAGAGTCGTGCAACACTCGAAAATTTACTTTTCAGAGTAATTTTTGTGATAGAGATACCAGAAACTACCAGGGTCTTAGCTCGAGGGTCGTGTGGGCCGTGTTATCGCGGCCAAAAGTGGAAAAACACAGCTAGATAAAATGAACGCGGCTTCACTATTTATAGAAGGCCGTGTATAGGTTCATAAAATATGGTGCATGCTACTTACAACAGACAGAATTTTTTTCTATTTACGTCGTAACAAAGTTTGTAAAATCTACTGTAGTTGTTGAATTGGCAAAAGTGATTCGTGATGTTTTAATATTTTGATGGATAATGGGAACTGTATGGTGTTAAAATAAATAAATAATAAATACCCCCAAGAATTGCTGAAATAAACTTAATATTTTAATGTCAGTGTGCAATATGAGCGTATGCTCGCCTTGTATTTGGTTGCAAAGCATAGAACAACCACAAGCATTATTGTTGGCGAGCATAACTAGAACCGTGATTTTGCTATTAAAGGTAATTGACATATGCACACCCTGGTCATTATAAACACGCCCAAGATCTAAAATCCTATAGCTAAGACCCTGGAAACTACCCATACTAACATAAACGCCAAACTACCCATACTAACACAGTTAAAGTTGTCAAACATTTTGCAGAATTTACAGACTAGTTATCATTCACAACACAACAGTTTAATACTGTATAAGTTGTTACCAATTTCTATAATAATTATTATATTTTCAGCGCTAGACAGTATACAATATCACGTTCATAGACAAATGTGGCCAACATTTGTTTATTATGCCCAATTCACAACTTATAATAAATAACTCACATATTAAATAAGTTAAATAACTCACATAAGAGGGCCCTGAAGGGGTAAAATGAGAACTGGGATTGATCTATTTTTAGACTGGGAAAATAAGATTTGGGTTGCTGGGACTAGGATTTGGCCACTGGGAATGGGAAATGAAGTCCTCAAAAATGGGAATGGGATTGAGGTAATGCGAGTCGATTCCGTTACAATTTTGATCCGTTTTTGGTGTCTTTGGTCATGATTTTTGTTGTTAACTATATTATTCACAGCACTATACTTGCGAACAGGCATACTGCACTCAGGCGCCCCGAATTCTGGGTTTTCTGACTATGCGTGTCTCAGAATTTTAAAAGGTTTTAAAACTGTTTATTCTACCGATAAATAAAGGATTTTTTATTGACTGGGATTTCAATAACTCGGACTGGGATTTCTAATAAATATCGGGGAAACCCCACCCCCCC